TCGTGGGTATTTCATCAATATAGTTATACACTTATAAAGATAAAATGATTGGTTTAATTGTGAATTTCATGTCTTTGAAACATTAATTTGTCAAAATGTTATGGTATAATATGGAGTGTTTATGAAGCAGAAAAATTTATGTAAATGAAAAATGTACTTTTACAATGATTTGCTAAATAGGTCATTGTCCTAAAAAAGACCCATGTGGCACAATTAATATTTTGTTGACCTGAACACCTTGAATTTGGCAAATGAATGAAATGAAGCCATTATCTACATAAGAATTACACCTAATAGAAGTTTGGCAATGTGTAGTGAATAAATTTTTTTATTGCACATCTCTTCTAAAAGGTGTTATACTTTTGTCAGATGTATAGATATGTTTATAATGATTACTGGAGGTTATGTACCATGGAGGAAATGTACCAGGAGGCTAAGTACCATTTTTGGAGGTTACATATCACATACAGTAAAAACCCTCAAGACCACCATCAGGACTGGACCAAAGTGGTCTTAATTGTTGATATTCTTATCATTGACTATACACATTATGACCATGGTCTATCTTAGTCATTTTGTAGGAACAAACAATATGTATCTTAACTTGCAAATACAATATAAAAGTTATAATGTTATGTTATAATGTTACATCTAATGGGAAGAAAACATATTTCTGAAGAAATTTAATATCAAATTCTCTTTGTTCTGATTTCAATATTAATTATAATATGATGTACATAATTCACATATCATATAAGATATTATTTCTTCACAAAATAAATGTGCTTAAAGCAACATTTAACCTCTCTAAAATTTACTTTCTCACCTTACTTCATTAAATATCCCAATATCAACAGTTTTTGACACCTTGTGTAATCAAGTGTCATGCCTAAGAGCAATCAAGCACATAACAACAAGTATGTGATCTAGGTAGGTGTTCACTTTTACATTAGTGGTCTCAATAGTGAGGTCAAATAAAGAACAAAACAAATAATTTGGACTGAATTGGGTGGTCTTAAAAGTGGATAAGCTAGGTGGTCTTAATTATGGATCATGTAATCATTGACATAAAAAAAACCCAGAAAATTCTCTTCTTTTAAAAACTAGTCTTAATAGTGGGGTGGTCTTAATTCCTAGGTGGTCTCAAGTAGGGATTCTACTGTATATATTTTGAAGTATATATGCAGCTGTACATCAGTTATCAAATTTAGCACTGGCCCGGTGGCCCATGGCCAGTGAAAATTAGTTTGGGCCAGTGAAATTTTTTAGAAAATTTAGTTAATTATATAGAAGAATAAATTCAAAACTGGAATTCTGGCTGGATTCATAATCTTAGATTCATTGACTGCCTACGATGATTACTTATCAATAATTTCAGGTTACACGGGAGTTACCTCCCTTTATCGTATGTCACTTCCTACTACTTTCATTTTCAACATAAAGTATTGTTGACATTTTTTATTTTGTTTTCCATCCAATAAAGTGGAAATATATTGTATTTTAAATTTGATGAAATCAAAACATCTCCTTTTGAAATATCAATTACTAGTTACTATTCTTCATACACGAGTTTTGATAAACAAGGGTATTTTGATTTTGTTGTGTGAACTGTGACACATGAATTCTGAAATTGATGCATATTTTGTATTTTTCTAGACTATGCATATTTTATGCTGTTAAGCATTCTATCTGGAGCTCTGTTATATTGAATAATTTTTCTCCGTGATTATTAAAAAGGTCTTTTTGAAAATTGAAATTAATATGTAGAATCATGACAAAAAATACGTATAGTCATGACTGTATTAAAGCTGAATTATAAAGAAATTGAAATACTTATTATTTAAACATCAGCATTCCTAATGAAATCAGTTGTGAGCAGTTTTTTTTTTTTTAGAAATGATATATAGTGTGTTTAAAAAGAAAAAGAATAGTACCTCATGGCTGCTCATGGATCTGTGTCCAAAAAGCCCAAAAAAACTTGACTTTTCTCCTCGTTTGTTCTAAATAATGAAAACTGAATTGAAGTTTTTTTTATTATGGTGTAATCTTTGTCTGCATAATTAACAATTTTTTATGTTTTTAATTTAATTTATATTTTGTTTTTTCAGGCCAGAACTCTGGATCAGCAAATAACAGTCCGAAGAAAAAATATACTTTGTCTGCAGATGCACCAGTGTTTGTTCCAAAATTTAGTCAGCAATCTGAATTTGAAGTAAGTGTGCACAAGTAAAATTGTCATTAATCCAATAATTGATACGCACATTTTTAAAAAAAATAAGCGTTCTGCTTCTAAACTGAACTTGAAATATAAATGAGCCATGTCACGACAAATTGCGACCAGCATGGATCCAGACCAGCCTGTGCATCCGCACAGTCTGATCAGGATCCATGCTGTTCGCTATCAGTTTCTCTTCTTGTAATAGAGTTGGTAAGCGAACAGCATGGATCCTGATCAGACTGCGTGGATGCGCATGCTGGTCTAGATCCATGCTCATTGCTGGTCGCAAACCCACTATGTTGGTTTTGTCGTGACATGGCTCAAATGTTGGTGTTAGAATCCGGCAGATAATATTGTAATGTAACCTTGCTGTGGTGTCTATTTCAAGTTCCTTTATCTTATCATTCATTTAGAGCATACAGATCTTTTAAAATCTGGTTGTTTGGCAGATTAACAGAAGTGACTTCAAGTCCTCCCCAAATCTTGACAGGTGATAAGTTGGAGTGATAAACAAAGGCCCATGGTTTTAGACAAGTCTAACTTAAGGTCTTGTGTTAGATTTGCTTATTTTTCTAAGGATATTAACTTGACAGAACCAATGTTAATAGATATATAAGTGTAATGATTTGTTTGAAATGCGACCTGACTGATATATATTTATGTTAGTCATTTACTGAAACCATATTGTATTCAATCCATTGTGCTGTTGTAATGAATCTTTTAACATTTAAATTCACAGCCTGTACCAGTACCTGCACCAACGTTATATACCGATGGCTCGATACCCACACAGGTATGCTTTCTGAATCATTCTTATTTCTATGATATGATATGTTGACTATTCAATAAATTACTATTCAGGATTTTCTCGTAGTTTACTTTGATAAATTCATAAAGTTGACCAAAATCTTTGTTTTGTTTATGAATTATCAGAGAATTCTCCTGTTTGTTACAATCTTACATATAATAAAAGAATAAATTCCTGGTGACAACTGAAATATATGGATGTAATCAAAAAATGTGTAAAGGAGCTGGTAGGGTAGTTTTGTGTTAAGCATTTTGCATTGTCTTCATTATGTATATGCAGACATAAATTTTATTACCATGTTAAGGTAGTATATTTATGCCGAGTTTCTTATCTTACAGACAGAGATTGAAGAATTTGAGCGATTCGCGGAACAATCTCAACTTGGTGGTATGGCATACATGGAATCTGATGATCCCGTGGAAATGTTCCGTGATGCTGTTGTAACCTTAACGACGAAAGGAAATGTTGAAGAGTACATGAGACCTATTACTGCAAAGTTGAAAAATGGAATAACGGATATGGCTGTCCTAAATGAAATGATAGATATACTGTTTGATCATGTATGTTTTTTTTAGTGTTAGATGTGTTTCTAGTTCTTGTACTGAAATGCAAACTGGTTGTCATTAATGTCAATCCTTGAGTGATGGGTGAATGAGTTAAGACTTATTGTCAGTAACTAAATGAACATTTGTAATATTCTAAACTTAGTGTTCAAAACAATAGGTTCTGATTTTTAAAGCTTTTCTTTGCAGTTAAGGTAGTGGACCATCTGAAGTGAGACTGGTACTGTTATTCCAAGCTTGTTTGCAGGACTTTTACCTTGATCATTAATTGTTTTAGAATTATTCCTTATTGTTGATTTATATAATTCTATGTAAAGGTCGTATCTTTCACAATCACTGTAGGTATTCACATGAAACTTAACGGGTCTTGATATTATTACAGGTCACTGTCATTGATTTTGTGAAGTTAAAATTTCTTGCATTTGTTTACTATCAAGAACTGAAGAATAGTCTAAAATGGTCCCTGACACAACATTCATGAAGGAATTGCTTTCAAGATAATTGTTTTTTTTTCGTTGGCTTCAAACAATTTGCCACTCACCTCTGTGGGTTCGAATCCCCACAGGGACTTTTGATTCTTTCATGTGAGGAAGCTATCCAGCAAGCTTGCAGAATGTTAGTGGTTCTATTCAGGTGTCTGTTTGTGCCTGAAATAATGCACACAAAGGCACCTGAGGTCTTCCTCCAACAGTAAAGCTTGAAAGTCACCATATGACCATTATTGTGTTGGTGTGATGTAAAATCCAACCCCAAAAAAAAAATTTTGTTTTGTTTTACAGAGTATTAAAGAGACTAACTTCAGCTATACAGGTGCTCAAATTTGCAAATGTCTCGCCAATGAACTGAAAACTCACCATACATTCAATAACTTCAGAACACTTTTTCTAAATAAGTAAGTATAAACACTGGTAGTATATGTAAAGTCCTACTGGCTAGTTATCATTCTGAGGTTTGACATTTGAGCCGTGTCATGACAAAACCAACATAGTGCGTTTGAGACCAGCATGGATCCAGACAAGCCTGCGCATCCGCACAGTCTGATTAAGATCCATGCTGTTTGCTATCAGTTTCTCTATTTGTAATAGGGTTGGTAAGCGAACAGCATGGATCCTGATCAGACTGCGTGGATGCGCAGGCTGGTCTGGATCCATGCTGGTCGCAAACTTATTATGTTGGTTTTGTCGTGACACAGCTCATTTATATGTGATGTGTTTTAGAAATATGAAAAAGAGGGGTATATTTTGTATTATTTTACAGATAAAAATATTGTGTTCAGTTTCCAATCTACATTATCAAAACCATCTCAATAATTGCTGTATAGCTTTCTGAAATATAAGTACTGTGGAAAACTGCACTCCTGCATCAATGGTCAAAAAAGAAAATTTTCTAAGCTCAAACTCAGATCTCCAGTATTTGAGTGGTCAGAACTAGCTCAGAATGTACACTGACCAATGAAAATTCTGAGATTTTAGACTCAACTCAGAAAATAGGTTTTATAACCTCCAGGGCTGGTTTTGTTTTCTCTAATAATTGTGGTATAACACTAATGTATATTTAAACATATAAAGTTACTTTAATGTCATAGTTCAAATTTTTGTGAAAGTTATTTTTAAATAGAAACTTGATATGGGCGTTCTACAATTTTATATGGTTTAAAAGATAGTTGGCATGCAGCTACTGTAATAACCAACAATTTCTAATACATTGTACAGTTTTAACTTTGATTACTATGATAATAATGTCACAATTTCAGATGTAAAAGTGCCTATGACAGTCGTGATGCTTGGGTAGCTGATCCAGCTATGTTTACACAGCTCAGTAATCTATCCATGTTGATAGGCCAACTCTTCCTTGTCCTTGAGGTATTGTTAAAACTTTTCTCTGCACACAGTCCCTTAGTTTATACAGAATTTGCTTTAGTTTGGTTGTTAAACAAGCTATAAGCTTATAGAAACAGTCTTGAATCATCCAGTACTAAGCAATGAGAGCAAAGCTTCTTGCCCAAGGAAACAAATTTTGGCCATTTTTCATTAAAAGTCATTTTATGTTCACCATCTGATGAAATGTACTTTTTTGCTGCTTGTTAATTGATACTACAATGTATTTGTTAATTATGATGCACTTACAGGAGCTGGTAAACAGATGGGATATTATTTTGTGAAAATTGTTACATTCATTTTCAACTTGCAGCTAAATCCTCTGTTTTTTGAAGTTGAAGGTTTTAGTGTTTGCAAAGTCTTTATAGCTAGTGCCAGAACATTTTGTTCCTTTGTCAACATGTTTGAAGCATTTATATAGGGCAACAATTTATTTATCTTATCTGCAATTCTGTTGTAACAGGTTGAAGGACCGAATGGTGAGTTACAGAAGCTTGGGTTTCTACGACAGGCTATCAGTGCACTTTTGTTGACGCTTCTTGCTGATCCTACTGATGATAGACTCAAAACAGCTGCCACGTTACTCAAGGTATGTATCGTTTATCATTATTATACCAGCTGCCACGTTACTCAAGGTATGTATCGTTCATCATTATTATACCAGCTGCCACGTTACTCAAGGTATGTATCGTTTATCATTATTATACCAGCTGCCACGTTACTCAAGGTATGCATCATTCATCATTATTATACCAGTTGCCACGTTACTCAAGGTATGTATCGTTTATCATTATTATACCAGCTGCCACGTTACTCAATGTATGTATCGTTTATCATTATTATACCAGCTGCCACGTTACTCAAGGTATGTATCGTTTATCATTATTATACCAGCTGCCATGTTACTCAAGGTATGCATCGTTTATCATTATTATACCAGCTGCCACGTTACTCGAGGTATGCATCGTTTATCATTATTATACCAGCTGCCACGTTACTCGAGGTATGCATCGTTTATCATTATTATACCAGCTGACACGTTACTCGAGGTATGCATCGTTTATCATTATTATACCAGCTGCCACGTTACTCAAGGTATGTATCGTTTATCATTATTATACCAGCTGCCACGTTACTCGAGGTATGTATCGTTTATCATTATTATACCAGCTGCCACGTTACTCAAGGTATGTATCGTTCATCATTATTATACCAGCTGCCACGTTACTTGTATTGTTTATCATTATTATACCAGCTGCCACGTTACTCGAGGTATGTATCGTTTATCATTATTATACCAGCTGCCACGTTACTCAAGGTATGTATCGTTTATCATTATTATACCAGCTGCCACGTTACTCAAGGTATGTATCGTTTATCATTATTATACCAGCTGCTACGTTACTCAAGGTATGCATCGTTTATCATGTTTGTCGTGATAATGACTTGGATATGCAACCAGTATAAAATTTTGGCAACCTGAACATCCCTGCAGTCTGATCAGGCCTTAATACTGTTCCAATTTTATTATTTTGATATAAATATTGCCAAAAGTAAATAATGGACAGTTCTGAAAGACTTAAGAACCAGGTTATAATAATCTGTAGCAAAAAAGAAGTGAAATTTTAGCAAATGCCGGATAAATGACCAATGGCAGAGTAAATGCTGATTAATCATCACCATCATTATTTATAAGTAACTGACTTGTCTTATTTGCTTATAACTGTGTGCCTTCATTAGTTAAGCTTCAGAGAATCAAATGACTGTGATGATATGACAAGAGTCATAAGAGACTTGACAAGAAAAAAAAAACTATTGGTTTTGGCCACAATACAAAATACTGCTTCAATTACAGTTTCAGTTTCAATTACATGCATACTTTATTCATTCCATACAACAGGTAACTTGAAGCATCTTGCATAATGTCCTGGAATAGTTACATTGCATTTTAAACATAGACTAGAGTTGGATATATTCTCTTAATTTAGACTTTGTGTGCATATGTTTTAAATTAAAACCTTTCCGCTAAATATAAGTTAATTGACTGATTCTGTTGAGTTGTATGATGTATTGTCAATGCAATTTTGTTTACCAGAATTTTATTAATTTTCAGTTGACTGGTTTTGAAATAACAAAGAACTCACATTTACCAGGTGACTTTGAGGAAATATATACTATCATACGGAGTCTAGAAAGACATCCATCTTTAAATAGGTAGGTTCTGCCATGATACTATTTCTATTCTTAGCTTAATTACACCATGTTGGAAACAAACTGAAAATTTAACACAAAGTGTTGTCAATGGTGTTGTACATAGCTAATCCCCTTTGGCTGAGGGGTTGCCTTTATGGATTGAGGCATCAGAATTGTAGCCACCGTTTATCTCTTAAAGATCATAAAAAGTGACAAAATGAATTCAAATTACTGGAGTCTATGCATTTCTTAGCGCCAACAGGTGTTTGGTTTTGACCCCTGGTGTTGCTTTAAATTTGTAACACCTAGGGTGAGCCAAAATTATCTTTTCTGTTTCGGCGCTATTTGACCTAAACAGTGTTGGTGGGCTGTAGAACCAAACAAACAGAATAAAACAAATGATCAATAGCAGAAATATTGTAACTTTAGAAAATGGGAGAAAAACAATGCTTCAAATGTGGAAAGTACTGTATATGAACAATAATGGTCAAATATTTGCAATCATCCTGTCTTTAAGATCTTTGTACAATCATACCACTAATATAATCAGTTCAAGCAAAATAAGTATATTGTGCTGAATGAGAAAAACAATTTTCAGAATATGAGAAATACAGTTTAAGGAAATTAAATGATTTATGTGGGAAGGAAATAAATGACAAGAAATTTAGCTGTTGAAACATTCTTTAAAGGTTATTCAGGAGTTTTCCCTCAGACATTTTAGAAAATGACTTGTAAGTGTATTTACAAATGTTATTCTTTAAATATGATGTTTATGGTTAACAGACAGTCTGCCAGTATATAACAAAATGACCATGTATCCTTAAAGACTTGAGGTTAATGGGTCTACTTCTTAAACAAAGAATTGTGTGGTTTTATCCCTACCATGCTCTCAACCATGATTTCTCACATGACACAAGTATATGTACTAGCTGACTTGAGTGTTTTCAAATAATCTTAAAGTTTCATCACATTTAGACTTAAGATCTATCTGTTTAAATAAGGTAATATATACAATCATTTACAGGACTAGTCACTGCCTGATCAACTCTGTGTTGAGTCGACTGGAGTACAACTGGGGTGTCCAACAGACGTCTTGACCGCAGTAATGGAACATTGTAACATGACATGCACAACTCTCTGGTAACAAATCTGTTCACTCTGTTCTCATTTACTTGTTGGAGCGTAATATTTAATAAAATATTTGTTAAGACTTTTTTAACAGGGTTATTTGCCCAAGTATAAATTGATGTAAGCCAATACAATTTAAACCATCATGCAGACGAGGTTTGTAAAGCAAACAGCTATTTGTTGTTCAAAGTCTTTACTTAACTAATTGATAAAACTGCATAATTTCTTGCCATGATGAAAAATAAACAATTTTGAATTACACATTTGATATATGTAGCTAATAGGAAAATATAAATCAGGGTTTTCATTTTTTCTGGGGCAAGAGATGATTCAACGAAATAAAATGATTTGGCCATGGGTCAAAGGGATAACGTTATTTACAGGCTTAAAATACAACCAATTTTTGCAGCATTTCAACTAATGATATGGTTGGCCAATCTGTTAATAATGAAAACCTTGTAAATGTCATGTTAGAAATGTTCTATAGTATAAAATTATTTTCATCGTGTAATAAATGTTCTTCAGTATATTGTGAAAGACAACTATATATATATAACATGCTTTGATAAGTCATCTTTGGCAGATTTAAGTGTTTTTTAGTACTTATGTCTTTAAATTTCCTTTGATAAATCCGGTTGCATTACTTCAAATTCAGTGCTTTTAGGGATCATAAATATTATTTTAGTAACCATTTTGATATAAGCAACTTGAGCATTTTGATTTATTATTTCTAATTTCATATATTTGTATTTGATAGGGTTTTGTTTTTGTTTTTCAGGACTACAGATATAAAAAGGGAAGTGATCACATATCGTTTAGTGAAATTCAAATGACGTTATTGAATTGTTTAGGGGCATTAGTCTGTCTATCTACATCAAACTTTTAAGGAAGAGATGTTGTGCATATTGTGTTTAAAATATCAATAATTTAAGGCCAAAAAAAATATTAAAAACAACAGACTTAATGGGAAATTTTCAGAGTCCTTGGCAATCACAAATTGTCTTGTTACGGGATGTGTGAAAAATTTCATGGATACTGGTCAGTGGGTAAATTTCGTTAGGTCAATGTCATAGAACATTTTTGTGTAATATGATATGTAACCATCTTTTCTTGTATTTGTTTCTTGTTAAGGAAATAATTTAATTCTTTATTTCATGTGTTATTGAAGCTTCTAAAGATTTGTTTGCAAATACATAGACACTTTCTGATTGAGAGGGACTCCATAATTTTCTCGGCCTTGCTGTAGATTTGTCAGGGTGTGGTTGAGTACATCGCAGCCTAAAGGATCTCTTTTATTGTTTTTTCTTTTTTTCATGTAAATACTGTTCATTTGTTTTGATTGAACACAGTCCACGGGAGAATGTTATTTTAATACATTGATTACTAAAAATTAAAAAGTACAAGTGCTGTCAATAATGAAATAGTGCTTCTATGGAAATTTTAGGTTCGCCACTGATTGAATTGAATAAATGATTATATTGGGGTATTGGTAGTCTTTTATTTAATATTTAAATGTACCATGTACAGTGATAAATAAATACCTTGCAATGATTTATACCTTGAAAATGTTAACAATGTATGCCCTAATTGTTTTAGATTTTAAAATCAATTTGATAAGGTTGAGCTCAATTTAAAAAATTTGGTCAGTATGATATTTTGTCTGCCAATGTACATTTAACAAAGAAAAGTTATCAAAATTTTAACAAAACTATACAAAAAAATGTTGGTGTTAAAAATTGTTAAAATTTCTGTAGTTTTACTATGATGACAACCAAAATCATATTTTCTTCAAACTTTAAGATTAAATATAATATGTACATAGCAAAGAATGAATGTCTTTTAAAGAAATGATATATACAATTGTTTCTATAGCCAGAGTTAAACCCAGTTCAAAATCTATGTTCATACACAGCTTGTTATTATATGTTTGCTACTCAAGCCTTTCCTTGTTGAAAGTTAACATGCTAGTTAATTATAGACGAAAAATAAAAACGGTGTAGGTTGTGGATTGTTAATTGGACAGAATCAATATATTTGCCAGTGCAATTGAATTGAACATTTATGTACCAGGCTTTATGAAGACTTTTTTTTTATAAAAAAGAAGATGGAGGCTATACCTTGACTTGGTATTGGAACGACTTAAATTATTTGTGTTCTTTTTGTGATAAGTTTGATTCCATGATGTATACATATACCAATCTATTTTGTCTGAAATAAAATTTTTTCCTGCGGAAAAAACTTGTTTACTTCTATTATGTGTAAAGATAGTTGATTTTGTGAAACAATTTGTAGTTTTGTTTGCAACTAATGCAATAAGTCTGCAATGTATGTTGTAGCTGTCCACTTGGCTCAATAGGAAGAACATACTATTAGTAATCCAGGATTGGCTGATTCATTACTCTGGCAAAGAATCATTTCTCTGTAATTTGTCATTTGTCTCCCACTGTAGGCCCAGAAATCATGTGGGGGAAAAGTAGTCATTCACTTGTGGAGATATTGGTAATTACTGATGAGTTATCCAGGAAAGCTGGTTAGATTGATTAACCATCGAGATATAACCAAACTCCAGATGTGTCCATGGCCAAGTGACTTTAAAACACTTCCCTCACCACTGAAGGTTTGAGTCCCAACAGGGACTTTAAATTTTTAAATGTGAGAAAGCTACCCAGCTAGCTTAGAAAACGTCTGTGGTTATACTGTGGTTCCCATTTATGCCTAAAATAAAGTACAAAGAACTTTCGGAGGCCTTCCCCCACCAGTAAAGCTGGAAATTTGTCATATGACCTATAATGTGTTGCCCTTAATATGTAAAAACCTTTTGGCTGGTTGGAGAAATAACAAAATAAAGATAAGTATAGGTGACTAAGTAGTTTAGTTTCAATATTGTAAACTCTTAAGATTGAATGGACTGCTTCACAGTCGAACCAAGATGCCATTCAGTGAGGTACCCAGGATAACAACAGTACGCATACTTAAAGTAAATGAAATGATAAAAATTTAAAGTACCTAGCCCTTGTTGGGCATCGCCGGATAAAAATTTAAAGTACCTAGCCCTTGTTGGGCATCGCCGGGAGTTTTGACTTATTAAGAAAAGGTAAAATTAGGATTTTGCTGATATTAAATTATAATAATTCTAGTGAGTTTTGATGTTTTTAAGTGAGTTGATGTTTATAATTATATTGTATCTTTTTTGCTGCAAGTTTAGAACAGATAGTAATACTTAAGTGTCATGCGTCTTTGAGTTTTGGTATTTTACGAAGTTATACAACAGGAAAATTTCAAATGGTGTCCACATGTAAAACACCCAAGGAGTATAAGCCTTTAATAACAGCGCCATTTCGAATGTTCAGCAGAAAATAACTCTGTTAAATTCAGACCAGCCAGATGTTTATGCTCAATTAGGCCGAGGTTAGTTTATGTAGATCGAGATATTTAATGTGATGTAGGTTAAATGTGAAGCCATTAAATCATCCTCAGATGTGTTATTTTTTTCTATTGGATAATATTGAATATTGTAGTTAAATCAGTAATCATGAAAGTTATTGAACTAAGATGCCATTTAAAATATTGGTGCTATCTACAGGAAAGGTCCATTTCAACAATGAATAACTGGTTTACAAGGTGGACTGACAAAAAACTTGTCATGGACCGTATACTTGAAGCTCTCACAACACACAGTATTTACTCATTACGCTAGCATCTTTGGCTACATTTTTGCACAATGAAGAGCATGAAAAGGTACGCACAAATCGACTATGACCAATGTAAGACTATTTTGGCTATTTCTCATAAACATATATACCCGTACGAAAAAAACTCCTGTTTTACAACTGTAAGACGACTGAAAAACACCTGTTTTTGTAAAAATACAGGTCTTAGGGACCTGTGTTTGCTGAATTTGACATTTTGACTAAGAAATACTGGTGTATTTTAACAATTTTACAGGTGTATTTTTGAGACAAGACCTGTGTTTTAGATGTACACATGTAATTCTGATACTTAGAAAATATTGAGCTGATATTTTGCGCTGAAAATAATCTAAGTCCAAAACTACAACTGTATTTTCAATGATACAGATGTACAATACACACTTAGAAAATCTTTTAGAGAAATTGTTCTTATTTAAATATTTTAATATCTTTGATGCAATTGTACAGACTGCATGCACATTATTTACACTTAGGATTTAATTTTTAACATTCATAATGTAAGCAACTTTGAACTAAGAGTGCTATCTAAATTTGAATATACATGTACATTGTATATGATTATTTAGTTTTAAAATATATGAGATAGTTCACATAGGCCTGTCCTTGTTGTTCTTTTAAGTATAAAAAGAACAACAACAAAAACTATAACAACAACAAACTGGTACATGTTCTTATTCAAGACTCCAAATTTGCAGACATTATGAGTTATTCTTCACTCTGTAAAGTTAATTGTGTATGAAATAAACTCATACATTAAGCTCTCTCAATCTAGTTTGTAATATAAATGACCTGTTAAGTAGGATAAATAAATAAACACTGCCTCTACTACTCTACAATGATTTTACACAACTGACTGATTTTACACCTTGCACTGACCAGTCTGATAATGGTAACCACCTGTTTTCCCACCATAAATTCTGCTACAGTCCAGACCCTTCCATTTGATTTTTTCTGGGGGGAAACAACTTTATAAATTTTAAATGAAGTCTGTTTAGAAGGAAATTGCAAAGTTGTCTTTAAAAACTTATTATGAATTTGAAATTCTACAATTTACACTTTTTTTTCTCATATGTCTATATGATTGTGAAAGTAAAATGATGGGTGCTTTGATTTGTGGAATATCCCTGTTTAACATTATGCATGATGAATCAGTCCAGTTCTACAGTTGTAAAATTTGAAATCTGAGGTATTTGTGGAAATAGTGCTCATGTATCACAAAGGATCTTATTGATAATTAAGAAATTGTGGAGATATAAGCAATTTTCTAGGCAATATTTTGTATAAAATGTTTGGGTGTAAATTCTTAAACTTTTCAAAGAAAAAAATCAAGGCTACAGTCTTGTTAATGAAAATGACAATATTCTGGATTATGGGATATGCTGGTTGCAAATGAAATTTGAATCTTGGACAAGAAGATGAAAACCAGAATCATAAAAAATCAGGTAATAACCTTTGGATACATTTATGCAAAAAACAAGTATTATTTCAGGTCTGCTAGCAATTATTTTTATCAACTTTATTCTGAAAAAAATAATATTTTACATTCTATTTACCCAGTTGGAAAATAATTTTTAAATGTAAATTTTGTCACCAATAGCATTTAATTAGATACTACAATATTGACTGTTAACTGCTTTATATTTTTGAATACAGTCTTGAAGAGATGATATTAAATACATTTATACTTAACTTCTAATTAATAGGTCATAATTTATTTTCATATCTTTTATAATGAACTATGAATTTTGTTCTTAAAGGTCACAGTACACCCCCCAGAGACGTTGATCTACATGAAACAAAGCAAAGGACTAAAACAGACATGGTTAAACGAAATTGTAGTTGAACTAATTAGAATAGTTTTGACAGAAATTCATGGTTAAACAAAATAAGTCTTCCTTAATTATTAAAGTTAAGTTACCAGTTTACCACTAATAGAAACAGCTCAGTAAATATCTTTTATCAGGCAATGCAATTAGTACATGTATTCATTAATTGTTAAAACATAATTGGTATATAGGTTGAAGTTAATTGGTACATATTTAAAAAAATGAATTGGTCAGGCACTAAATATGTGCATTGATGACATTAGTACAATTAAATGCAAGCATTGAAAGTTACATGATTATCATTTAGTATTCATTTAATGATAAACTATATTGATGTTTTATTTGATTCAGGTGAAGCTGCTTTAAACAGGATCTTAAATCACAATGACAGGGACCAGTTAAGAAGAGAAAACACTTGCAAAGGCTTTATTCCAAGTAGACATTAATTTGGCAAATACTGGCAATAAATTTTTACAAGAAAAAAAAACTTTATTAGCATTTGTGAATTTTTCTTCAAATGAAAGGATATGCCTGCAGTGTTATTCATGACTTGGATTTTATTGATGCAGTATCAGTAGTGTAAGACTGTAACAGAATGTAATAAAATATAGTAATCCATTTAAGACAAAGTGAAAATTTGTTATATTTATCCCCATCTTTAGTGATAGTGATTCTAGTTCAGTGATATTTCCGCTCACCTTAGCACAGAGTGCCATTGTGAACTATTGTGATTGTATAATGTCTGCTATTTGTACCTTAATCTTGTAAAAAGATATTTTCTCCTCAACCATTTCTTATTTTTAAAGATTGAGTAGCAACAAATGCACAAAATTTCTGACCAAAGTGTATTTATCCCAATGAAAAAGATATTTGCACCAAACATGCCAAATATGTTTGCATTTATGTGTGGTTTTCATCCCTTAAACAATAAGGGCACCTGTATTTTATTTTTGACCTGTAAAATTTTACACCTGTATTTTTGAGCTGAAAAAATTTTACACCTGTATTTTTAGACCTGTAAAATTTTACACCTGTATTTTAAACAGCTGTAAAACAGTACAACTGTATTTTCGACCCGTAGAAAAAAACAGTTAATTTACATATTTCGTTCATAGTACAGGTGTAAAACAGGTGTATTTTTGAAAAAACAGGTGTAATTTGCTATATGTTTATCAAAACTGAAGAAAAATACAGCTGTAATTTTTAACAGAAAAACAGGTGTATTTTAGGCAAAATTACAGGAGTAAAATTTCGTACAGGTAGAGACATGGATATTTACACAAAATTAAACACCCCCTTGGCATTTTAATGCGGGGATAAATCGTGTAGAACCACCGATATAGTACATGTCAGTTTGGTCTGAAACATAGAATCCCTAAGCTTTGATGTTGTCTGTTAATATTTACTGAATACAAGTTACATTTTCTGAAAGAGTATGCATGGCTATTATGCGCTTTAATCATGAACACTGACACTATCAAAAATATGTTATAAAAGCAACTTTAATGAAATGGTAATTTTCTTTCTTATAGAAAGGTATGCTAGCTGTGGTTAATAATTCAGAGGCTCTGAAGGGGAATTGAATGTGTATTATAAGTATACAGTCATTACAGTGTAATGAGAATGGACTTTGGATAGATATTTTTGGCTATTAAACATATATTTTGCGAAAATTTAATTATCCGTCCCCCCTGCGGTCAGTTTCAAGTCCAGCACTGGTAATTAGAATTAAAGAACATCTTCAGGAGAAGAACTTAGGTCAAAATTTTACTTTAAATATCTTGGGAGTTCTTTTGTTTTTAGCTCGACTATTCGATAAGAATTATGCCCCTTTTTCGACTTAGAATTTACGTTAAAGTTTTTGTAATAGTTCAAATATTTTCAAAGTCCATTGACATATGGCTTTGAAACTTTGCACACTTGTTCACCATCATGACCCCAACCTGTAAACAGGAGGAGGTAACTGTATCAAGCATTTTTTTTACTATCAAGCACTAAGAATAGTCGAGCGTTGCTGTCCTACCGACAGCTCTTGTTATTTATAAATGTAACTGCATGTTTACATGTTATGGCAAGCAAATGATGGTATAAGTAATGTTATAGAATAATATCCAAGCTGTTTATATGGTTATTAATGGTCAATAGAAAAGGTTTCCTAAAAATGGCCACTTGATTGATAATAATTGAATATGAACATTTACAAACAAGTTGGTAAAAGTTTAAGTAATAAGTTATGTTTTACCTAATTTTATTTATTTTGTTACCTTGAAAATAGTGCCATTTAGGGTAATTAGTTCATAAAGAACATATAAAATTGTAAAAGCAGACTTAAGATTTATTTTTTAATTACCATCTATAATTTGGATTATGTATAAAATAAAAATCAAAATGAAAATGTTTATACAATTAAAAATTATTGTTAGGTTTAAACTACAAAGAGAATGTAGCTCCAGGCTTTAAGCCATGATGATGCTAGGTAAGTATGTCATATAATTAACTGATCAGATCATCATCTTTAGTGGTTTTTTTTTTTTTTTTTTTTTTTGGTGTCCGACAATGATATTTCGTACATGCGTCAACATGTTAGAGCAAACCATTAATGGCCGACAAGTGAATACTTCTCAGCAATTTCCTTGTCATTTTCGACTAATCTTTAGCCTTTGAAGCGTGACACACAAAGAAATTCGCACATTTATTGTGTAATATGTCGTCTGATTCGACAGCGGGGTCATCAGGTGGAAGTTCACCTGAGAAGAGCAAAAGGTTGCGACGTCCTCATCCCGCAACTGAGGAAAGATTGAGAAACGGAGAATTTGGTAAATATTAGACATATTGCTCAGAGAAAATAGATAATCTCAAGGATTGGATATAAAATATTTAACGTCATAGAGAGAGGTATGGTAGTAATGATAAAAATATCATATTTCATCGGCAGAATTTATTGAAATTTTATTTTCTTGAAACATTCAAACCCTGTAAGTGGTAAGCATAACTTTGTCTTTTTAACAAGAAATTTTACACTGATTAGCAGGGGGTTTTTTGTTTTGTTTTTTAAAACAACAGTTATTAAACTCTAAGACCCATCCCAGTGAGTTTTAGTTTTTACTTGAGTAACCCACTGAAGGGTATATTTTGTTAAACAAATGTACCCCGGTTTGTATCTTGCCATTGGTCAAAGTCTTAGACCAGCAATATACATGTGTATTAGATTAATTGAATTTAATTCCATATCTGCAGTATAGATCTGCTGGATTATACCTTCAGTAGGTTGTCTTTACTAGTACGAGATTGCAGAAAAAAGTGCTAAAAGAAAATAATAATTTTCATAATTTCTTTTTGAAATAAAACAAACATGTAATAGTCCATATGCAAGAAGAAGAATCAAAGGCAGATTGGAATATCTAGCTGTCAGGTAACTGTTAAGCGGCAACTTGGCAGCCAGTGTAAGATCCTTATTATATATAAGATATGGATATGATTTCAGATCCTAATCAGAACACAGCTCCAGTCATGAAGTCTAAACTTTCTGCTGATGCTCCAGAATTTGTTCCAAAGTTTTCATATATTCCACCAGACCAACAGCAGGTATTTTACATGGTTTAGAGTCATTTGCTTTCCTTGATAATGCAGATTAAAACAAATTTTGTCTTAGGTCTATGTGTCCAATTTTGTATGATTATAGTTTTCAATGCAACTGTTTAATAATTGAAATGATGACATTTTGTGATTAAAATATGTTTATTATATCTGTATAGGGTTTATCTATATAGGGTTTAATGGTGTATTGTGAACATAAATACATATGTGAGCCGCGTACTGACAAAACCAACATAGTGCGTTTGCGACCAGCATGGATCCAGAACAGCCTGCGCAGTCTGATCAGGATCAATGCTGTTTGCTTACCAACCCTATTACAAGTAGAGAAACTGATAGCGAACAGCATGGATCCTGATCAGACTGCGCGGATGCGCAGGCTGGTCTGGATCCATGCTGGTCGCAAACACACTATGTTGGTTTTGTCGCGGTGCGGCTCAATGATGTATATATTTGTCATATCTAGAATTTTGTTGTGCAGTCTGTAAAGAAAGAGACTATATGTTAATATATACTTGATGCCATCAATGTTGTAGTTGAAATATAATATACAGTTAGTTGATAATAAGAAGGTTGCACTGATTACATAATAAGCTATGTTTCTATTTGCGTTAAGTTTGGTGATAACTGAAATTATATATTAATAACTGGTGCATTATATATTTCATAGGATGACTTATACCAGGACTTTCAAAGATTGGTCAGTATACGACCTTCCCACCTCAGTGCAGTGACCACCACTGGGCCATCCGGGAAAGACTCCATTGCAGATATTTTTAAAGATGCTGTATTTAGTTTGACATCGAATCCAGCACCTATGGAGGAGTACATGAAAAGAGTAACAGACCTACTGAATAATGATGTTACTGATACAGCAGTTATAAATGATATTATTGAAACATTATTTGAGCAGGTAATACATTTTTCTTCTTGTAAATGTCACACTCCTTCATTTCCCAATTAGCAATTACTTTTGACATAAATGTAAATTTATGAGCAACTGATACTGATATAAATGAAAAGTATGGTAAATGAGCTTCTTCTTCTGAAATAAATGTTAAGCAATAACTGGTAGCAATTTGTTGTGACATAAATGTTAAGCAATTAAGGTTAGCAACTAGTTCTGATTTAAATATTAAGCAGTTACTTGTAGCAACTTGTTCTGATATAAAAGTTAAGCAATTACCGATAGAAACTTGTTGTGACATAAATGTTAAGCAAATACTGGTAGCAACTTGTTCTGACATAAATATTAAGCAATTACTGGTAGCAACTTGTTAGTCCCCTACCAGTTTACCGGAGGGGACTTTAGGTTTACCCTCCGTCCGTCTGTCCGTCCGTCTGTCCGTCCGTCAGTCCGTCCGTCCACAAAACTGGATCCCGCGATAACGCAAAAAGTATTGAAAATATTTTAATGAAACTTGATATATGGATAGATGGCAGTATGGAGATTATGCACGTCTTTTTCTTTTCTTCCTATGTTGAAAATTCTGGTTGCTATGGCAACAAATAGACTGAAAATATGGCAAATTTTACACATAACCTGGATCCCGCGATAACGCAAAAAGTACTGAAAATATTTTTATGAAACTTGATATATGGATAGATGGCAGTATGGAGATTATGCACGTCTTTTTCTTTTCTTCCTATGTTGAAAATTCTGGTTGCTATGGCAACAAATAGACTGAAAATATGGCAAATTTTACACATAACCTGGATCCAGTGATAACACATAAAGTACTGAAAATATGTTTATGAAACTTGACATATGGGTAGATGGCAGTATGGAAATTATGCACATTCTTTTCTTATCTTCCTATGTTGAAAATTCTGGTTGCTATGGCAACAAATAGACTGAATTTCAAGATTTCTGATTCTAGTTTTTAAGTTTTTTCACTATAAGTTCTTTATTTCTTAAGGTATTTTCTTCAAACTTTAAATATAAGTTGCTTGTCATCAACCACATCATATGTGACAAGGTTTACAACTCTAGCACAAAATTTATCAGAATTACCTCCCTTGATCTTAAAATTTTCATGAAAAAAAACATTGTTTTTTTAATAACTTCTTTTTCTGAATGTATCTATACTTTAAACTTCATATAAATGTTTCTTATTGTCACTCAACATTTGTGAGTGTTCAATACTCTAGCAAGACTATTTCCAGAATTATGCCCCTTTTGAACTTAGACTTTTTTTTTAGAAATTGGTAATTTTTACTCCAACTTCTTCAATCATGATAGGATTTTAAAAATGTTATATTTTGATAACAGGGATGTTTAAAAAATAACTTTAGAGTGTCCTTCAGTCTGTCTGTACATAAAAACTATTTCCTGTGATCACTTTTAAAGAACTTTTTGAACAAATTTACTTAAAATAGGAACCTAAGTGAATGGCCAATGGCCCTTCAGAATGTTGCTTGGGCTCTTACCGGTAGGGGACTTATGAATTGCTTGCAATACTATGATAATTGCTTGTTCTGTATGAATGTTAGGCAATTACCAATAGCAACTTGTTCTGACATAAATGTTAAGCAATTACCGGTAGCAACTTGTTCTGATACCGATAGCAACTTGTTCTGACATAAATGTTAAGCAATTACCGGTAGCAACTTGTTCTGATATAAATGTTAAGCAATTACCGATAGAAACTTGTTCTGACATAAATGTTTAGCAATTACTGGTAGCAACTCATTCTGACATAAATGTTAAGCAATTACTGGTAGCAACTTGTTCTGATATGAATGGAAAAGTGAAACATGAATAGGAGACCAAAAAGCCCTCTATTAATATAAACATTTTATTTAGACACAAGTTTTTATGAAATTAATGTATTTTTAAAGCAAAGTGATCAAATGAAAAGATTTTCATTTTGCTTACTTATTGTCATTACTTCTGAAATTTTAATTATTTTGCTTATACAAGTTTTTAAACTGTTGTTTTATTTTTGAATTTTTCATCATTTTGTATATATTTTACTGTTCTTATTTCAGAGTATTTCGGAGCCAAATTTTCGTTTCACTGGAGCCAAGATCTGTAAATATTTGTCCCATCAATTAAAAGGTCACCCTGTATTTAGTAATTTTAGAGGCCTATTTCTTAACAGGTGAGTACAGATTTTGATTAAGTAAATAATAAATCATTATCAGTATTTGTCACAGAATATTTATGAAAGCTGGTAAACTTTTTTTCATGAAACATAAATTGATTTCAGCAAAGTTTTGTAAAGGATTTTTTTGTTTGTTAGGTTTAATGTCACTCCACAACTGTATGGCGATTTAAAATCAGCATTTAATCTAACCCCTGTTAGAGAGGTGAAGGAAGCACTCAAGTCCAACCACCGATGTTCTATAAGCTATTGTTTAGGAATAAACTGTTAATTAGATTGGTATTTATGCGGTTTGGGCTGATGGCTTGGGCAGGTGCAATAAAAAATTCTGTGCTTAACCCCTACATTTCTTAAGGGATTTTATCTTCATTTTCTAACTTATCTTTCATTACAGATGTAAATCAGAATTTGTCAGACGACAAGAATTGTTGAACAATAATTTAGAAAGATTATGCGGGCTTTCTATGTTTTTTGGTGAACTATTTTTAGTATTAGAGGTAAGTTTAAAACCACTTTTGGTAGAACCAGTATTTTAAATGTATAGACCTTCATTATATGGTTTTAAAACTTAAAATAGTTTTGTTTATACAAATTAATTTTAGTTTGGAAGCTATAAGCTTATTCATACTCTCAAATCGTTCCTTGAACCAACCAGTACTAACCAATGAATGTAAAGTTTCTTGCTCAAGATAACAGCGGCTTGCCCCTGACAGGGTTTGAACCCATGTAGTCAAAAACCTAAACCCCGCCACTCAAATTCAGATCATGTCACAAAACCTCAGTGGAGTCCCTTTAATATAAAAAGTATTGTTTAATTGAGTTGATACAAGCATAAGCATGTCATTTGTATGGACTAGTCATATGCTTCAGCCATATTATGTGATATTTGGAGGATGAAAAAATGAAATTGCATGTTATCATATTTTAGTGTATTTCTGATTTATAATTATGACAAGTTAGATCCATTCTAGCTTGTTATAAATATTAATGTTTCAATGAAAACTTATACCAAGAGTTTCTCTTATTTTGTTTAACAGATTGAACACGATGGATATTTGGTGAAGATTGGCTTATTAAGGAGTGCTATAAGTGATTTATTAAGGACTTTATTATCCAGCCTGGATGATGTCACTGTAAAATGTGCTACACAACTTCTCAAGGTAACTTCTTCTTCTCATTTGCATTTATACTTTGTTACTTCAGCCGCAGCAAGCAATGTTGCTGTCTGTCAAAGCTCTTTTGCATTGCTATATAACTTGTGTTCGAACAGTTGATCGCTTTAAGGCCACACATGTTTTCTATATTGCTCTAGAATTGGATACCTTTGGAGTATGTAGACTTTTGTTTGGTTAACTATACCCATCTTTCTCCTTTCACAACAATAGCAATTTTAACACACATTTAGTTTTGCCATATTGTAGATTTTAGTTCAATCATTTGTTGATGTACAGGGCATTTCCACCCTTTCACCAGGGGCCAAAAGTAGGCCCCATTTCCAATTGAAAATATTCTCCTTTTTTCCAATTTCAAGAAAAAAAAATCCCACCAGCAGCCAAAACATATTCAAGCTGTTTCTAATTCATGGGAAAAGTTAACTGTTTTACTTGATTTAAAAACTTAAAAGTCATGTATAAGATTGTTTATGAACTTTTTAGAATTTCCCAAATTATCTTATAATTTTTCCCAATTATGTCAGCAGCTTTTTCCAAAAATACCTGGAAAAGCCCCTGATGTACACCTGAATTGTTTATTTGTAACAAACAAAATTTTAGTCCTTTGACTAAAGTTACCTACAAGTTAACATTTGTTGTCATATGGGCAAACTTTGGGTTTCTCAAGGTACACAAAATCATTATATTTTGTTGTTGTCCTATGTCAAATTGAATGGCTAGCCAACTGACTACAGCAGGTCTGTGATTCTACTTGAGTGACCGCTTGAGCCTTAAATAATACACAGAGGATCATTTGGGATTCCTCCTCCACTGTGAAAGCTGGAAAATAGCCATATGACTGACATAAACAGTGTCAGTTTGATTTAACCCACCCCCACCCCTCCCAGAAGAGAACATAATAAAAAACCATATGATTTTTAAGGTGTAATGAATATAATAATAACTCAATAGTGTGTACTGCGTTTGGGGTCATATACCATATAATATGAGGAAGTTACGAAATCAGATGCTTTAGTGTAAAAAATGCAAATGTTACTGGTTTTTGATATTGCCTAAAAAAATGTAAACTTTTTATTATAATTATGTGTTATGAAATGTTACTATTCTATTTTAGCTGACTGGTACAGCGCTAATGGAAACTACAGATTTACAAGGAAATTTCGATGATATATTTGACAAAATAAAATCATTAGAAAAACATCCACAACTGAATAAGTAAGTAGAATTTGTATTAATTTTTTGGTTGGGGTAACAGTTTGACCAAAGTGATATATATTGGTCAATGAAGTTTGGATGCATTTTGTTATAGTCCTGTCTTACCTTAATCTCTATCCTGTAAGTCAAAACCTTCATATACTGCTGGAAGGGAGCTGAATAAAATATGACTTTGATCTTGAAAAACTTTGACTGTCACAGTCAAATTTCATAGAAAAAATCCACACATCTTTTTTTTTATTAACAGATCAGTACAGTGGTGTGTTTTTAACAAATTTTGTGAAGATTGACTTAAATAAATGTATTGACTGGCAATCAATAGCTTTCTAATCTAATATTGCATTTTGTGCAGCTTGTTTTAATGAACTTACATTGTTTACAACTCATTCACACAATGTCTTCTGGCTGAGTAAAATTATTCATTTCCTCATAATTTATTGCAATCTACTCCAGTGAAAACTATTCTACTTATAAGATTTTAACTAAGCTGTTAGTCGCACATGCATGTGTGTTGCAATCTAGTCCACTATTTATGATTCAGTGAAGGTAGACTTTAATACTCCGGAATTAAGAATATTTTGGGTTTTTCCCAGCTAATCCGGAGGTACAAACTTTTACAGTTACAGGTTTGATAATAATCGCCCCAGGTTGATTAATATATTGTGATGGGTAGTGCACTGTGAAGTTTTAACAGTAAAAGTTTGTTTGAACCCACAGATTAGCTGGGGAAAAGCAACATTTGCCGAGTTCCGGATAACATCTATTGGTCTACTTATATGATTTGAGCCGCGTCACGACAAAACCAACATAGTGCGTTTGCGACCAGCATGGATCCAGACCAGCCTGCGTATCAGGCAGTCTGCACAGGCTGGTCTGGATCCATGCTGGTCGCAAACCCACTATGTTGGTTTTGTCGTTACGTGGCTCATTTAAATTTAACGGTACATACATTTGTGACTGTAATATTTTACAGGACTAGCCATTGTTTGATAAACTCTGTGTTAAGTCGACTAGAGTATAACTTTGGTGTAGGTCAACAGCCATCACCACAGAAACCAGTGCAGACATTTCAGGGTGGTCAACAGTCAACAGACTTTGATGTAAGTTATGGTATTTTCTAAAAACCAACTCCATTAAACCGTAATGTTTGATGTTATTTCTAAAGCTCTTATAATGAGATTTTTTTTCTCAAAAGTGATTTTGTATGATTTTTAAACTCAAGACATTTATTGTTTTAAGTTATACAGTATTGTTTAAAGAAAGTTTCATTTAATTGTCTAGAAATATTTTATTACAGATTGATAAGATATTTTTATAGTGTGCTCTTAAAACCCTCATGAATATCGTAAAACCCTCATTCATGAATGTCTTGAAACCCTTGTGATTATCTTAAAACCCTCATTAATGTTTTAAAACCCTCATGAGTACCTGTAAAATAAACTATTATTGTTAACATTTTATTTTGTGTAAAAATTTGTCAGTTTATATTTGTGATTAAAATTATGATGAAGATAACATTTTAATGTACCTTTGTTAACATGAATACATTTTCCAGTTTTTTAAGGATCATTTTAAGGGAGTTTAAAGGCTTAGTGGTTAAGGTTGTTGACTTTTATTCACTTAACTGGGAGCTCACCACTGTGTGTCCAGATATCACTAGGGGTTGTTAACTGTTTTATGCGGTGCGGTTTTTCAATAAGTGCATGGAAAGTCAGCGTTTTACACAATTTCTCGCTATTGACTGAAAGAATATATAGCAGGACACTTTATGTGTTCCTGTATTGGTAAAGCTGGAAAGTCACCATTTGTCCTGCACAGTGTTCACTGTTGGTGTAACTTTAAACTCAATGACAAAATTAGGTAACTAAGATCTATTTTATCTACGGGTAAAAGTTAATTTCATTTTACTTCTAGAATGAACCAATATTTTACAACACGGAGGGACAGCCAATCACAAGAGAGGAAGCAGGATATGATGACATTATTGGGCTGAACAGCGAGGAGCAGGAGGCGTTCCTACAGTGGGAGGCGGAGAATTATGCTAATCAGCAGTGGAACGAGCAGGGTGGAGACGGATTTTCAAATCAAGGGCAATGGTCAGATGGAGCAGCCAATGGCTACGTACAACAGCCATGGTCGACAGGAATGTCTGATTATACACAGTGGTCGGCTGATCAGGAACAGGGAGGGTTTGGATATAATGAGTAAGTTAAACATATTTGAAAATGATCTATTGATCAGATTGGTAGATTTTCACCCAAATTTTTTTGGACAGCAATAGTAAAAAAAACCAACCCACACGCACTTTTCTTATCAAACTTAAACTTCAGACTTTATTTATCCAACTTTTCCACTTGCTATCCGAACAGACTAAGGTGCTTTAAAATTGTGACTCGCATAATATTAACTGAGGTTTTATATACCTACAGCAATCGAATTTCAACAAAAAAATAATAAAAAAATCTTGCTTATAACCTTATATGCTCAACTATTAAATTTTTGTTGTAATTCTATTATGGTATTGTTGAATATAAAACATTATATAATTTAAATTTGCAATTGGAAATAACTTTGCAGTTGCAGATAAATCATTATATTATATTTATTGTATTTAGAGTTTAAATATTTCAGAAAGTATATATTTCATCAGTCAATGTGAAGTGTTCAAATTTTTTACCCATCTTAGTATAATTAATGCATTGCCTTGATATTTTTATTTGTCCAGGGCCGACTTGTATGGTGACTACAGTAGTGATATGGACGATGAAATGGCTGCCGCGTATGAAATGTTCCTGAAAGAATCTGGACAAAGTAGACACTGATAACAAGATGCCCGTGTTTCATGTACATTCAATAGTTTATTTATGTTTGCTTGTTGCAGGCTTGCCAAAGAACATAATTGATGATGGATTTAAATCATTCAAAGTTTTTGCCCAAATTGTAAGAAAAAAAATTAATTTGAATTTTTTTTATCCTAGAAAAATGGTGGAAAGTGTATTAGTTTGAAGGTACATTATCTTCATAATACATTTGTTTTAGGGTTGTTTTTTTTTAAAGAAATACCATATTGTTTCTGTTTAGAAAATAACAATTAATGACACTTCAGTAAAATCATTAAAAAAAAGAATATGATTATTAGATCATAATAATGATTTTTATAAGTGAATTGTATCTTTTATAAACATATTTTACAGCACATTTTTAGCTCGACTATACGAAGTATATGGAGAGCTGTCCTACTGGCCCCGGCGTCGGCGTCCGCGTCCAGATTTTAGATTAAAGTTTTGGTGCAGTAAAATATTTTTCACTATAACTTTGTCATTTCTAAAGGTATCAACTTCAAACTTCAAATATATGTTCCTTATCATCAACCACATCTTATGTGACAAGGTTCATAACTCTAGCACAAATATTTTCAGATTTATCTCCCCTTGAACTTAGAATTTTCCTTAAAAAATACTATTTTTTACTGATACTTATTTATTTCTGAAGGGATCAACCTCATACTTCAAATATATGTACCTTATCATCATCCCCATCTTATGTGACAAGGTTCATAACTCTAGCACCAATATTGCAAGAATTATCTCCCCATAAACTTAGATTTATTTACTAGAAAAATGTTATTTTTTATTTTAACTTTTTTATTTTTAAAGGTATCTACCTCAAATTTCAAATACTTATTCCTTATCATCAATTACATTTTATGTGACAATGTTCATAACTCTTGAAGCAATATTTACAGATTAATCTCTCTTTGAACTTAGGATTTTCTTTAAGAAATATAATAACTTCTTTATTTTTTAAGGTATCTACTTCAAACTTCAAATATATATTGCTTATCATTACACAAATGTTGTGTGGCAAGGTCCATAACTCTAGCATAACTATTTCTAGAATTATTCCCCTTGATCTTGGAATTTATGTTAACAAATGTTATTTTTTACTGTAACTTAATACATAATTATACATAATTGATTTTTCTTTCATAGTTTTGTCCTCCTTACTGCGTCCAGTATTTTATTAGTCGAGCTTCGCTGTCTCCTGTGACAGCTCTTGTTGTAGTTCTGATGAGCTCCCCCTTCTTGGAAAAAAATGCAAGCCCCCTGGGGCCTGGAACAGAAACAATATGGTAGTTGTTTAAATCATTCCTTGACAACTTTGCTAACAAGATAAATAAAATTTGTTTGAAATATTGGTAGTGGAAATTTTGAGAAAAAAATATATATTAATAAATTTATGAAATGAAGACAGTTTACATAATTTTGTGTTTCAAAGTTTTGAAAATATTTATTTGGCTACAGAGCACTTTTTATGAACATGTGTTAAACGTTTCAAATTCAGGGTTTTTGTTTAAAAAAATAATGGAAAAAACTTATAAGTATGTAATCAGTATTACCATAGCTGTGTGTAAAAAGAGCTCTTTTTATCCTTCTAGCTTAAGGAACTTTGGTGGTTCTACTCAGGTGCACATAAGAGCACCTGAGGTCATTTCCATCAGTAAAGCTGGATTAGCCTTTACAACAGTGTTGGCTGGAGTTTAAACCCAACCAATATAAAAATTGTCTCCCCTTTTCAAGATAGGTTGTAGAAGTCATGTAACATGTTCTTTGGCAGCTATTAAATCTACCTTTAAGTGCTAACAAGTTTGTATTTTTGTGCTAAAATGTGATAAGTGTATATACTATAATTGTAAATGATAATGAAAATGTAATAAGTTTTTTTTTTTGTTTTATCTCTGTAATACTTAAGAAAAGAAAGCCTAAAAAATGCAATATTCTAAAAATAGAATTTTAAAACTTAAAATGTAAAAAAAATGATTTCTCTGCATAAATATATAACTTTGAATAAGTTTCATAGTGTGTTAAGCTTTAGTGTAATAGTTATATTCTATTGTAATAGAGCATTCGAATAAATATCATGTTTTCTTTTAAGAAGCTCCTCTGAAGTCCCAAAAATCTAAAACTATGAAATTTTAAAATTTTATATGAATCAACTCGGGCACTTGAAACAGAAAATATAAAAAGGATGACAAAGAAATATATGCCAACTGAAATTTTAAAAGTCGATATTTAGTGCGATACTTTAGCCCAATTTAAGTTAAAAGGACATTTTCCATTTTTTGGTCATTTTGCTCAACAAAAATATATTGTGGAAAAATTTCGCAATTAGTCTGTTGGTATAGACTCTACATAAAAGGATTTAAAGATATGAAAAAAATAGTTTCCAGTCTCATTATTTTCAAAAAAAAACTTAAGTGGAGTCCCTTTAAAGCTGTGACTTTTAAATTAAGTAACTTTTGAATAAATCCCATTATTTTCTTGAAAAATTTTGAATATGATCTCAATTTTATTTTAAAATAATGTTTATTATATTCTAAAATCTGGTAAAACATCTATAAAGGTTTTGACAAATTTTACTTTTGAGAAATTTTCAAATTTTCTTTTAAAAAAATACAGCTTTTGAGTAAATTTCAGTTCAGACAAAAATCTCAAGTTAGTTTCACTGAGTGTTATGGAATTTTGTTTAAATTGTGTAACAATTTATTTCATACAGTTGAGGAATCATGTGATGATTTGTAAATCATAGATATTGCATGGGCATTGTAAAAATAAATTCTCCCATAGTTGGGCATTTGTCATCTACTTGTTTATATATGAAATTTATGAGTTTGTACATGGAAGTCATGGGGGGAAAATTTAATCACCCATGAAACAGATACATTTGTATATTAACATTACTGATACATTTTTGATGTGTACATAGATGATATGTTAATAACTTGTTACCTTAGTGCAGTAATGAGTTAACTTCTATTACATTTCATAAAGAGTTAACTCATTACTGCATTAAGGTGATGAACTATTTCCTTTCTGGAACCGAAAGTGATCAAATCCATTATCAGCAATACAGAGCCATGGTCAGGCAGAAACTTACCAAAAATGGCATTTTCTGTTTTAAATTTCATTTCATTCTTATTTACAGTGCAATAAAACTTTTCATTGAAGTAACTTACCCAACAAATTCATTTTTGTGCCTTTCAAAATTCATAAATAAGAAAAGTCATGAAGTGTGTATGTTTTGTAGGGGCATAGGTCTAAGTTGTTTTTAGCTCACCTGTCACAAAGTGACAGGGTGAGCTTTTGTGATCGCTTTTTGTCCGACGTCCGTCCGTAAACTTTTACTTTAAATGACATCTCTTCATAAACCACTAAGCCAATTTCATCCAAACTTCACAGGAATGTTCCTTTGATGGTCACCTTTAAAAATTGTTCAAAGAATTTAATTCCATGCAGAACATGGCAACCAAAAGAAAAAAACTTTAAATATCTTCTTTTAAAAAACCCTAAGAGCTAGAGCTTAGATATTTGGCATGAAACATCTTCTAGTGAGTATCTACCAAGTTTGTTCAAATAAAATCCCTGGGGTCAAAATTGGCCCCGCCCCAGGGGTTCATTGATTTTCCCTATATGCATATAGTAAAAACTTAAAAAATCTTCTTTGAAAAAACCCAAATAGCTAAGAGTTTAGATATTAAGCATGAAACATGTTCTAGTGAGTGTCTACAAAGTTTGTTCAAATAAAAGCCCTGGGGTCAAAATTGGCCCCGCCCCTGGGGGTCATTGATTTTCCTTATATGTGTATAGCAAAAATTAAAAAATCTTCTTTGAAAAAACCCAATTAGCTAGAGCTAAGATATTCAGCATAAAACATCTTCTTATGGGTGGCTACCAAGTGTGTTCAAATAAAAGCCCTCGGGTGAAAATTGGCCCTGCTGGAGGGGGGGGGGGAGATCATTGTTTTTCATTATGTGTGTAGTAAAAACTTAACAAACTTAACATTGTGAAACATCTTCTAATGAGTGTCTTTCAAGTTTGTTCAAATAAAAGCCCTGGGGTTTAAACTGGCCCCGCTCCGGGGGCCTTTATACAGGTGAGCGACCTCAGGGCCATCATGGCCCTCTTGTAATCAAGTCTCAGAAGTAATCTAGATAACAATACATAGAAGTAAAGTCATTCAAAGAGAAATAAACTTGCTAGTTGGTATATATTCAAAATCATTTCCAAAATTCAATACATAATATTAATTTTTAGATATTTGTATTTTATGTCCAAAATTTTCTTGGCGATGAGGGGTGCTGCTGCCCCCCTTCAAACCCCAGAAACAGAAGGGGACACATCCACCTTCCTGCAACCCCTTGATGTACCTTTTTGATAGGGGGCAGCGCCAAAAAAGTAAAAAACTGTTTGGTGCCTAAATAGGGCATTTTTTCACTGTTTGAGGCATAATAGGGGGGAGGGTGGGGGGCAAAAAGCCTTCAAAACATGTCTTTATGGGGTAAAGGGTTAAGGGCAAATCGTTATTCTTGTTAATAGTTCTTTTTTTCCTATTATTTGAAAGAAAAAGAAAAACAGACATATTAATGTTGTGTTAAATGCCAAGTATTAATTGTAAATAATTTCCATATTAATTCAGTCATTTTCATAGGAATATTATCAGTGCAGGTGTGCTGTATTAATTAGATAAAACGTGTCATATTTTACTGTCCTTGGCTACCTATATTGGTTGGAATGGTTTCATGCGTACCTCCCTTGGCTACCTATTTTGACTGATATTGCTGTGGGTGGTATCATGCTTACCTATCTAGCAACTTATATTGGCTGATATGACTTTTTGTGGTATCATGCTTATCTCCCTTGGCAACTTATATTGGCTGATATGGCTTTTTGTGGTATCATGCTTACCTCTCTTGGCTATATATATATTGACTGATATGGCTTTTGGTGGTATCATGCTTATCTCCCTTGGCAACTTATATTGGCTGATATGGCTTTTGGTGGTATTATGCTTACCTCCCTTGGCAACTTATATTGACTGATATGACTTTTGGTGGTATCATGCTTACATCCCTTGGCAACTTATATTGGCTGATATGACTTTTGGTGGTATCATGCTTACCTCCCTTGGCAACTTATATTGGCTGATATGACTTTGGTGGTATCATGCTTACCTCCCTTGGCAACTTATATTGGCTGATATGGCTTTTTGTGGTATCATGCATTCCTCCCTTGGCGATATGGCTGTGGGTGCTATCATGCTTACCTCCCCTTGCAACTAATATTGGCTGATATGGCTTTTTGTGGTATCATGCATGCCTCCCTTGGCAACTTATATTGGCTGATATGACTTGGTGGTATCATGCTTACCTCCCTTGGCAACTTATATTGACTGATGACTTTTGGTGTTATCATGCTTACCTCCCTTGGCAACTTATATTGGCTGATATGACTTTTGGTGATATCATGCTTACCTCCCTTGGCAACTTATATTGGCTTATATGACTTGATGGTATCATGCTTACCTCCCTCAGATTTCTGTGTAGAGCTGGGAATACTACAAATGTAGGCAAACATCTTGATTCTGTTACAGGAGTGAGGGAGGAGTTATGGGAGTCTAACTCTGACTCTAATACTGTTTCTACTAGTAAGCATTGCAGATCTTGCCTAGCTCCAACATCATATATTACAAATCACACTGATGGAAATCACATTCTCAGTACATTGTGCATTTTGATTTCTTCCTGTACAGTTTTTCACCTTTTTCTCATCCCAGTTTTTATCATAATTCAGCAAAATTGCAAACATGTTTTGTAATGTGCAGCAAATTTCTATGATTCTTTATACATGTATGAACTTGTAAATATTTAAGCATTTTATTATGTATAAATGTAAATTAGATTATAGAAAAAAGAAACTTTATTATCTTTGTTTAAAAGGTTATTTTGATGCTAGATGAATGTTTAATGATATTTCTTGTCCAGTCCATTTTGTTGTATTGAAAATGAATTATGTAAGAACATTGTAGATGTATTCTTTAATTGGTATTTTTGGCTTGAGAGGAAAATGAAACATTTCTGGTCAATTCTAAGTTCAATTTACAAATACACGAGAGAGGTAATTGCAGGCAACTTTATATTACTTTTAAAAAAAAGTTAACTACATAGCAAGAGAAATAATCCTGTCCCTTATGTATTGTATATCGCATAGATTATTAATAAATAACGAGCTTAAATAACACATTTCCAGCATTTTTTCATGAATAAAATTCAATCATGCAAAGATATCAGTGTTAATTTTGAATAACTAAAATAGTAAAAAAAAAAATGAAGAAAATTTTCACAAAATATATGATAGAAAATCATGTTTTGTGTTGCATTGCAAAGCTGATATTCACAATCAAAATTTGTATATGTATCATATCTATATGTAAATTTTTAAATTTGTGTTTTTTTTCTGTGTATGTCCGTATTTCTCTATATTTTGTGCTATGTTAATTAGGTTGCAGACAATTTTCTTTTCTTTTTTTTTTGTGTTTACTAATTAAATATTTTATGTTGAAATATTTCGATCATTCTGCAAATAAAAAAATATTGAATTTTTTATCATATTGTTTTGTTATAGTTTTCCTGGCACTGTAAACTTTGTTCACCATCATATTTTGTACATTACACAACTGTGAAACGAGACACCAGCATTTGATATGATTTTTTTGGACTCGGCAAAGGAAAACAAAGCTTAATTAATGAGATTGGATCATAATATGAGGTTATTACATATTGTTGAGTTCAATACTGAATACACAGCTGTCAAAGCTATATTGGATGAGTTTAAAAAAGGTTTTGCAGCTGTGTACGAGTTTAATAGAAACAGTATTTGTCTCATCAATGCATAATGACTTATTTAACTTTCTTTGACATTTTGACAGAACTTTGGAACTTCAAATACAATAAGAAATTGAAATAATCTTTTGAAAAAAAAAATGAGGCTAAACGAAGAACTCTGTGCTTTTGATACAGATATTTTGGACTCTAAAAATAAAAATTAGGTTATATGAGGTGTGATCTGAATTTGATATGGATGTTTTTGGACTCTGAAAATGGAAAGCTGGCTATATTGATAAGATTGGGTCTGATTATGATTTCTATTGGAACATAACGTTTTCCAAACGCTGGAAGTCCATTGATCATATTTTATAGTGTGAATAATATTTTATATTGTACAATCACGTGGTGCAAATGCTTTAAGTTAAATGTTTACATTTTATAAGGTATGAAATATTTTTTCTGATAACATTATATTACTTTTATATCCAAAATATGCCAGCTACTATCATGTCGGCAATCAAATTGCAGATTTTAAATTATCTGCCCTGCACCACTATATGTGGGTTTTAATTCCATCAACGACTAAGTATTCCTTCATGCGAGGAAGCCATCCAGTTAGTTTTCAGTAGACCAAATTTCAGTGGTTCTACTCCGGTGCCCGCCCACTCATGCCTGAAACAATGTACCGGAGTAAAGCGGGATGTCATATGACCTTTGCGGTACTGTAGTGACCAAAATGATAATGTAATACTTAAGACCAGCAGCTGTTGCAAAAGGCCTACGTCTTAAACATGTGTTTCGGGAGGCATCTTTAAGGCAGACCTTAATTTATCGTTGTTGATGTCTGTGCAACCGAAAACAATTTATAAGTAAAGAAATCTTGGAAATTTTGTTTTAAGAAGTAGAACTTTATATTCTATATTATATATTCTATTCGAGTGAGACCTTACTGGTCTGGTCTCAATTCAGGTAACATTTCATGATGATAAGGAAAGTTCTACTTCTCCAAGATTTCTTTACTAATAAATTGTTTTCGGTTGCACAGACATCAACAACGATAAATTAAGGTCTGCCTTAAAGATGGGACTGATTAACAATTGCTGTTTATATGAAGTACCTAAATTTAATTACGCATTTGCTTTAGAGATGAATCTAATACTTGATTTACTCCTTATTTTTCATTCTTCAGTTTTACCATGAAAGCATGCATTAATTCAGTCAACACACGGATGTAGCCTACTCAAATACCCAGGCTACGCCAGCGTTTCTGACCTAACCGTTGGGCTACGCCCGCTCGCTGTAAACAATAATATACAATTGGAATACTTTTGTATTTTCCGTACAGTCATGTTATTGATTTATGTCATGCGAAATACTGTCATTCAGCAGGAAATGTTTCTTCTATCTGTAAGTTGTATTTATTTTATCTAAATATTTATTCTTTTTTTCTTTGTAACGATTTAAAGTGCATAAGTGATCAATTAGGAAGTGCCTCAATGCTCGTTATTTTAGGCAAAGAACTAACGTAAATAACGTATATTATTTAGTAGACATGGTAGAGTACATGTATATATGTATACGTGGTATTAGTAAAAATGGAGCTATTTTATATAATACGCTGTCATATGTTCCACATGAATGACTAGACGTGACCTAGACATGTATGGGAAAATAAGTTCTAATGATAATATACATAATTGAGACGCGTCACGACAAAACCAACATAATGGGTTTGCGACCAGCATGGATCCAGAACAGCCTGCGCATCCGCGCAGTCTGATCAGGATCCATGCTGTCATGCTATCAGTTTCTCTACTTGTTATAGTGTTGTAAGCGAACAGCATGGATCCTGATCAGACTGCGCGGATGCGCAGGCTGGTCTGGATCCATGCTGGTCGACACCCATTATGTTGGTTTTGTCGTGACGCGGCTCATAGATTTATGCAAAGTTTTCTTTCACAGAAAATAGACACAATTTATAACTATGAATTTCAAGTACAACAGTCATATGCAATTATATATATAAAAAAATAAACATGACCCGCATGACACAGTATCAAAGTTCAACAACTTTTCAATATACATGTACATAAGTACGTGGAACTTGTTTTGTTAACTAATTTCAGTGTAATAAATCTTTAATATATACCATATATCAATTATAGTGAACGTGAACGAAGATGAGGGTTATAAAAAGGTTGTTAGTTATATGGCTGGTTGGATTAGTACATGCAAAAAATGTCCTTATATTGTTGGGTAAGTTAATTATTCTTTATAAGAAATTATTTTTTCTCGAATCTATTTTTTTTTCATTTTCGAAGTCAATAATGAAAGTAAACAAATAAAGCTATCCGGTTAATATTATCACAAATCTTACTCATTGAGACTTAATTTATTCTTTCTACAAGGAAAATGATGAATGTATACCTGAGCTAAAACTGCACGAAATTAACGTGCTCAATTTCAGGTTAAATATTTCAGGTGACGACGTCGGGTTCCAGTTTGGTGCCTATGGCAACACGAAGATCAAGTCACCGAATGTAGACGCTTTAGCCCAACGTAGTCTGTTGTTCCAAAATGGGTTCACATCTGTCAGTAGTTGTTCACCAAGCAGGTCAGTTTTAAATTCCAAGCATGAAAGATAATACAATGTCTTTAACAAATAAACAATATATGTAATTGTTTCAAACGGCTTATGTCTTGCTTTGATTGACCATCTCTTTATATTTTTACAATAACTATACGATTCATGAAGATTCACTTTACAAAACAGAGTGCTATGAACAGTTTAGAGCCTTGTCAGAATGCCCGGATGTGTAGGCTGGCCTGGCTCTATACTGGTAATGAAGGGTAACCTTTTTCGGGTCCAGGAGATGTAGGATGAAGAATTATATCAAGCTAATAAGCGAGCCTATGAAATTGGCCTGGTTTCGTTTTCGTTTTGTTTGTTTGTTTCTTGGTCTTTTTTTATTTCTTAATTAAGGCAAGTCTTGCTATCAAATAAAAAAGTGACATGGAATACTTTTAAGTTGTTTCTGCTACAATTAAAGTTACTGTTACAGGTCAGTGATACTATCCGGTTTACCCGTGCATCAGAATGGTATGTACGGACTTCACCATTCATTCCAACATTTTCAATCCTTCGATGGTGTCCGCAGTCTTCCGATGATTCTTGACAAGCACAATGTTCGGACAGGTTTGTGCGTAATGTCAGATTTTCTATGTACAAGTCATTTAAAACTCCGTCTTATTTGATTCAGAACAATTGAATAGTTTGCTTGTTGCAGGTCAGTAGTTATGTCTGGGCTACCCGTGCATCAAAATGGGATGTATGGTTTGCACGGAGGTTTCATGCATTTCCAATCCTTCGATGGCGTTCGTAGTATGCCTATGATATTAAACCAACACAACATCCGAACAGGTTGATATTGCATGAATAGCTGTACTATATGTGTATTCTCATATATTATGCATAGATCCCTGACCTATCTAATTCTTATTATCGGATTAGTGTATCACCACAACCTATATTTGTTAAAAAATAGCACATGTCAATATTTGAGGTTAAATCTATTGTTATTCAAGTAAAAGGTCAGAGTAGGGGTCTATCAATTGTCATTAACGTATACATATATCACAGGGTGCGTCCACTGCCAAGTTGTTAATGTCGTTGACTTCTAACCACTTGCCCTTCACCGCTGTGGGTTCGAATCCCGACATGGACTTTGGATTCTTCATGTGGAAAGCTATCTAGCAAGCTTACGGAACGTTGGTGGTTCTTTTCAGGTGCCCTGAAATATTGCATGGACGGTCACCTTAGGTCTTCCTTCACTAATAAAGTCGTCGCCATATGACCTATACTGTGTCGGTGTGATGTAAAGCCCAATCAAACAAACACAACTAGTGTTCTGCATTGTTGCACTGTACATGTTCATGTATTATATTATTTTAAGCCCTGTTAGTGTATATCTTAGAAATACATTTCTATCTAACTAGTTATTCTATAAATTGTTTTAATTTATAGTTTTTCTTCCGTTTTAGATCTTTGATAAGTTGTAGAATTCTATATAAAATTCACAATTTTTTGTTACTATTGTCTTCTACCGAATCACAGAGTCAACGCAACATAACTTGTTGTTAATTATTTCGGACCCGGGCATATTATTCTTGCCCTGTATATCTGAATATTTTGTTTGATAGTTAGCATGTCAGTAAAGGCACTTTTACATTAAATCTAAGTTTTTCTTTTTTACATCTTTTTCCTTATAATTTTGGAGCAAATTTCTGGATAATGAAACTTCTCTCACCAGCATAAATATGGTTCTATTAAATTAAATATACATCAGTTTATCGAGTGCATCGATTCATTTTTTTCCACGTTTCATTAAAAAAAGAAACCATTGTGACAAAATGTCGGAACTTCCATTTTTCAGGAATTGTGGGTAAAAAGCACGTAGGTCCAGATTCTGTGTATAAATTCGACTATGAAGTCACCGAGGAACATTACGATCTTAATCAAGTGGGCCGAAATATAACGTGTATGAAGGAATATATTCGAAAATTTCTCCAAGGCTCCAAGAATGATTCAAGGTCATATTAGTATTTGATTTATTTTTTCATAAATAATATAAAAGATATATAATTCAGGTAATGTACATATAGATTGAAACAAAATTTATTAGCTAACGCATGTATATGTTTGAATGATCTTTTTGACAACTAACGCAATGCTAAAAGGGTACAGCACATTCTCTCAAAATGTGAAGCATAGATATAGGTCATGTACATCACAGGCAATCGGTGCGTGGCTAGTATATTATACATGTACATGACCACGCCCACTTATTTTTTTATAAATTTTTTTTTTTCTTATTAATAAAATATTTTTTTATTCAAAATGTTTTTAAAATATCTTATTTTCAATAAATCAACAAAGAAAATTTGTTTTTAAAAAAATTCATCCATATATACTATTAATATAGTAAAGGTAGAAAGGTTCGCCAGCGGACCTACCACCAGGCCTTATGTTACCTCCCAGATCTTTGTTAATTGTCAACCAATTTTCACCAAATAAAGTGCAATCTACGCAGAAATGATTTCTCTTTCGAAAAATGTACAATATCAGAACAGTTGGTACGACAAAAGATGGAATTTTAAAGCGAAAATGCACTTTTTGTCTAGGTCGGCCATCGCTTGACCGAGCCGAAAGTAGACGATTTGAACATAAATCGATCTTTTTCTTAATAACAAACTAATGTCAGTGCATGCAAACAGTTGAAACAGAAAGGGCAGCTATAATACTATCGCTTACCGGTCCAAAGTTAATCCAAAACATCTGTAGGTACGCACTTTCGGTAGTTATTTGCACTAAATTTTTAAATTCCCTGACATTACATGTATACAAATGCTGACCCGGGTGTACCTGATGCGTACCGCTTTTCGCATAATAAAAATTGAGCGAAGCTGGGTACCAGCGGGAACCGAGCATGCGTACCTTGAATATCCGGATCAGAATTTGTATACATGTACAATGTCGGGAAATTTAAAAAGTTAGTGCAAATAACTACTGAAAGTGCGTACCTGCAGACGTTTTGGATTTACTTTGGACCGGTAAGCGATAGTATTATAGCTGCCTTTTCTATTTCAACTGTTTGCATGCACTGACATTAGTTTGTTATTAAGAAAAAGATCGATTTATGTTCAAAATCGTCTACTTTCGGCTCGGTCAAGCGATGGCCGACCTAGACAAAAAGTGCATTTTTGCTTTAAAATTCGATCTTTTGTCGTACCAACTGTTCTAATATTGTACATTTTTCGAAAGAGAAATCATTTCTGCGTAGATTGCACTTTATTTGGTGAAAATTGGTTGACAATTAACAAAGATCTGGGAGGTAACATAAGGCCTGGTGGTAGGTCCGCTGGCGAACCTTTCTACCTTTACTATATTAATAGTATATATGGATGAATTTTTTTTAAAAACAAATTTTCTTTGTTGATTTATTGAAAATAAGATATTTTAAAACATTTTGAATAAAAAAATATTTTATTAATAAGAAAAAAAAATATTTATAAAAAAATAAGTGGGCGTGGTCATGTACATGTATACTATCCTAGCCACGCACCGATTGCCTGTGATGTACATGAGAGATTGCACTCAAACAGAGTCTGAAATTTTCATATTATTTTGTTGTTTTCTGTGATTCCGAGTGATCACACATTTTTTCAGACTTTTATATTTGAAAATACGAAGTTATTGTTCAAGCGTTTCTATTTCGCCTTAAAAAATTGTCAAACCTTCCTATGAATAATGCAGTGCTATGAATGGTGCATACAAAACTGGCATGTTCTTTTAAAGGACGAGGGTATATTCTGTCAAAATGTTTTCTAACTTGATCTTATGGGAAATATTAAATTGTGGTTATACTTTAGTTTTTGATACCTTTAAATAAGATCCTTACGACATGTACATTAGTATAACTGATTTAAATGGTTTCTGATGAATTGCGTGCAATAATTCAAAAAGTCGTTTGCATAACTTAATATTATTTCTTCTGTTCATTTCATCATTTCACTTAAAGGCCTTTCCTTCTGTACATTGGAATCCACGACATCCATCGTTGTACTCCATATATTGGCGGCAAACTTGGAAATTTCTGCGATAAATTTGGTGATGGTACGACACCGGGCACGGGTTATATCAAAGACTGGAAACCAATAGTCTACAGACCGGAAGACGTAGAAGTGCCGTACTTTCTTCCGGATACACCAGCTACCAGGGAAGACCTTGCCGCAATGTACAAAACATACAGCCGATTTGATCAAGGTATAAAATATTTTATAAGAATGTTTTCATGTTTTTAATTACTTGACCAGAATCCTGGGCATATTAACAATTTACTTAAAATTTTTAAAAAATAATTGATTTCGCCTTTTCATATTAATTTTATAGCGCATACTTTTGTCTGTCTGTGCAGATTTAGTGTTGGACTTCAGTTAGAAACTAGAAGAACGAACTGAGCGAGTTTAAACGGATTTTGTTTATATTTATTTTGTTTTCATTAAGCGGTGCTTGTCGAACTAATTAAAGTTCATCTTGCGCAACGCAGCCTACATCCACTTTACATTAATTTTGTTCTTAACATATAGGCACTTAATTAGTATTGATGATGTATTTGAAATACATGTAAAAGCTTTTGCAATAAGAAAGCAATGATGCACAATTGAGTAATGTATATTATAAACACAATATTTATTTATTTTTAGATTGGGTGATGGGGGCAATATTGTATTAGATACATTATTATGCATATCAATTTTACTGTTTTGTTCAAGTGAAAACATACTACATGTTGTCATATGCAACTGCATTACATTGTGCAGGTGTTGGTCTTTTTATGCAAGAGTTAGAAGACGCTGGATTTGCAGACGACACTTTGGTGATATTTACGTCAGATAATGGTATTCCGTTCCCATTTGCTAAAACAAATCTTTATGACCCTGGACAAGGAGAACCATTTATGATATCTTCACCGTACCATAAAGAAACCTGGGGAAAGGTAATTTTTATTATTCTTCTTTCCTCTGGTCATGTTAATTGCAAGGAGGAACTTTCTGGTTTTAATGTTCGAGCTTACGGACGGTCGGAGGTTCTACTACCTATCGTGTGTGAAACAACACACGGGGTGGCATCTTGGGACTTCCTCCACCAAGAAAGCTGGGAAGCTGCAGCATGACCTTTGCGGTGTTACTTAAAACTTAATCAAAGAAAACAAGGAAGGGCTTGAACCCTTCTTTATGTATGGTGTATTTTGAGGACCGTGATTAGAATCACAAACCTTTCAGAAAGTGAGAACCGACACTAGTGATAGCAAGATTATGTAATGGCCAGTATAAAATGCGATTAATTATTTCTGAATTAAATCAGTTTTTTTATCAGAGTATTTATAAAGTATTTGGAGAATACCATTAATTACAAATACTCACTAGTCTAGTGATTTTTTATTTATTTTAGAAAACTGACGCTATGGCGAGTACGATGGACATCGTGCCAACAGTTTTAGACTGGTTCGATATAAAATATCCCAGTTATAAAATGAACGGTAAAAAGGTAGCTCTTACCGGAAAATCATTGCTTAATGCACTTAAGCCACAAGTTCCAGTCGGGCAGTTCGATCAAATCTTCTCAAGTCACGTTTTTCACGAGGTCACCATGTATTATCCAATGAGAGTTGTCCGTACGAAGAACACAAAACTCATTCACAACATCAACTTCCGGGCGCCATACGGATTAGCAACAGACTTGTACCAAAACCCAACTTTCTTGGATATCCTAAATAAAACGAAATCGGGACAACCGACTAAATGGTTCACAACTTTGCAGAAATATTATTATCGAGATGAATGGCAACTCTTTAATTTGACCTCTGACCCGCATGAGCAGGCGAATTTGGCGGGTTCAAAGGAGTACAAAACTGTTTTTCAAAACATGAAGAAGACTTTGAAACAGTGGCAGTTGGACACAAATGATCCTTGGAGATGTCTGCCAGATTCAGAACTTGAAGGGGATGGTGCGTGCTATGACATGGACAATCGTAAACAACCGGAAATGTCAATCCACGTGCTGCGTTAAATTGGGAACGCAGTGTAATGACAATGAAGATCTGACTTTTCTACAGTATATGCATTTTATTTTCCATTTGAACGATTAATCGGTATTTAAATTCTAATTACTGATGTGATATAACAGTATTACCTTTTAAGTAACATAATGATATTATATTTTTTTATGACTTTCTTTTCATAAAATTTGATATTTGAAGTTAAAAAAATATAGATTTACTAGATTATAGATTTAATTGCATTTACACATCCTTAAACTAATTGATTAATTCTCATTTAGTAAATTACCACAATTGTTTGTGTTTATATGTTTTTTTTTATTCTATATTTGTTGTTTTGTTGTGTGTTTTTTTTTCAAGATTTTGTACAATTTTGTGATTTTTTCGTGATATACATGACAAGCCAAAGACAAGTTTTTTTTAGATAATGGACATTTAGATGTAGAACCAAAACAAGAAATATGAACGTATCCTCTCCGGTAATAACGTAAAACATATTTCAATATTTAATTGAATCTATGTTTAAATAGATCTACCATTTATTATGTATTTACATTGTCCAGTGTTTCCTAACATAACTGGAAATTGTTTCATACATTTCAAATGTTCACAAAGACTGCTTTTAGTTCTATGATAAGGTTATATATATGTTTATGCATTACTTTTTAATTTGTAATATATTTGTTGATTACATAATGAATGTTATTACAGATGTCTACTTGTAAATATTTTATATGCAAAAGTAATATTCTTTATTTTTGACGCTGGCATTTTCAGGTATTTTGTTTTATTTTTTTTACTGTGCTTTACACGAGTCGGTTTAGTTTGGCGAATTCATTCATGATGTTTTGTCTTTATCTTGCATTTAAAAGCATACATTTGTACATGTATTATATGTTATTTTGGTTTTGGAGTGATATATGTGGATATATTACCTGCTAAGATTTTATATCACCCGAGCCATAAGGCGAGGGTGATATTTTATCTTGGCAGGTAATATATCCACATATATCACTCCAAAACCAAAATAATAATTTTATTACCCTTCACCTGCCGAGTTTAGACGATTTTTTAAAAAATCATTGCTGTTTCAAATGAAACGTTGAAATAAGATTCCCTTTAGGGTACCTCTTCATCACAACATGACGTCACATAAATAATGACGTATTTTTCCCCGTACCTAACGAATGTAAACAAGAGAAAAGGAGTAGTGTATTGAACGGACTTTTTTGTAATTAATATCAAGCTTTCACAAGGTCATATTTGTTTTCAATACTGATGGGAATATGTATCATTACTCTACTTTGGTAAATATTTATCATTTGACAGTTAAAAAGTGCTTGTAAATCGGAATTTACACCGCGTAAAATCAAACCGTACGCGCATCACCTCAGCGCATATTGTTTACAAAGTTGGGTACCCAACGGGGAAATTTAGTGTGTATATTACCCGTCTGGCTCGGTTATATAAATTTCTTTCGGGTGATCAATATCCAATCAAAAAGGCGGAAAAAATTTGGAAGGGTAATAAATGTATTTATTATCCGTCCAGATTTTTTCCGCCTTTTTGATTGGTTATTGATCACCCGAAAGAAATTGATATTACCGAGCCAGACGGGTAATATACACACTAAATTTCCCCGTTGGGTACCCCACGTTGTAAACAACATGCGCTGAGATGATGCGCGTACGGTTCGATTTTACGCGGTGTAAATTCCGATTTACAAGCACTTTTTAACTGTCAAATGATAAATGTTTACCACAGTAAAGTAATGATACATATTCTCATCAGTATTGAAAACAAATATGACCTTGTGAAAGCTTGATATTAATTACAAAAAAGTGCGTTCAATAGACTACTCCTTTTCTCTTGTTTACATTCGTTAGGTACGGGAAAAAATACGTCATGTATTTATGTGACGTCATGTTGTGATGAAGGGGTACCCTAAAGGGAATCTTATTTCGACGTTTCATTTGAAACAACAATGATTTTTTAAAAAATCGTCTAAACTCGACAGGGGAAGGGTAATAAAATTATTATTTTGGTTTTGGCTCGGGTGATATAAAATCTTAGCAGGTAATATATCCGCATATATCACTCCAAAACCAAAATAACATATAATATTGAAAATCATTCAAGAAAATGCATTTGAATAATACTATGGTGAATGTTTTATCATGAATATTAAAGTAAATAACAGTAAGGGCTTTCTAGAATTATACATGCATTGACCTTTCATTCAGTCCACACACCGTGTATTCTTGTCCGACACTTTCAAGCCCAGAGCTTAGATGTTTATCATGTTGTTTTTCCAAGTGGATCTTTACAAAAGTTATGTTTGAAAATACGCCCTTGTGGTAAAAAATAGCCCTTTACCGGGCCACTTATTTTACACAGAAGTTAAGAATACTTTCCTCAGAAATTACAATGAGCTTAGATATTTGGTAGAATCTTATAGCCCTCTTTAAAAAATTAAAAGCTTTTTTTCCTGGGTGTCGAAATTGACACTGCTTCAAGGTGACATAGACTAATAAGTTACTTTTCTGAAAGTATATGTCATAGAGCTAAGACATAAGGCGTAGTATTTGACTAGTATTCCTCAATAAAAGTGAATTAATCGTGGCCTTGGAGTGAAAAAAATCCTGTCTCGGTGTCGCATAAATTTGTTACAGTGACTTAAAGGGGATGTCCGTGGCCGAGTGGTAAAGGTCGTTGTCTTCAAACCACGTGCCCCTTACCGTTGTGGATTCGAATCCCGACAGGGACATTGGATTCTTTAATGTTATGAAGCTATCCAGCTAGCTTACAAAACGGTGGTTATACTCGGGTGCCCTTTCGTGCCTGAAATAATTCATGGAAGGGCAACTGAGGTCTTCCTCCACCAATAAAGCTGGTACGTCGCCATATGACATATATTTGGGATGTCTAGTCTGTAAAGAATAACACATAGGACAATGGTGTGATTTCTTCTATCATTATGGAAGACAAATTTGTATTACCTGTAATTTGCATGAATCATACGGAGGAGTCCGTGACCGAGTGGTTAAGGACTTCTAACCACATGTCCCACAACTCTGTGTGTTCGAGTTCCTGTAGGGACCTTGGATTCTTTCATGTGAGGGAGCTATGTTACGGAACGTCGGTAGTTCTACTCAGGTGCTCGTTCGTGCCTAAAATTATGCATGGAAGGGCACCTGAGGTCTTCCTCCACCAGTAATGTTGGAACGTCGCCATATGACCTATACTGTGTCGGTGTAAACAAACGTTTCAAAATAAAGTGTTGTTAAAACTGAGGTGAGACGTGTGGTAGGGAGTAAATACATGCACATTTAGTCCCGAGTGCGTTACCGAAGAAAAAATATTAACGAATAAAAAGAAAAACCTTTGAGATGAAAATGCCTTTTAATCGCTTGTTTCTTTTATTTATGGGATAAACCATGATATTATTTTGTTAATTAAAAAAAAAACATTGATTTGAATGTTTATGTAAAACATTTAGTAATAATGTCTATAACTGTTAAACGTACGTCATTGCACACGAATTCCTAAAACGCTTCAACTTTGAGAATTCCATCGTACGTATTTGTCAACATTTTTTCTACATCCTCCATTCTTATATTGCCGAGCGATTTTTTATATTCGTCTACATAAGAATACCATTTTATAACATTCTCCTCTGTGTATTTTGACAGTTTCTCGGCTATCTTTACAATTATATCGTCAACTGTTTCTGTAATATTTGTGTCATTTCCAATGTCTTCAGCGATATCCATTAGAACCGCAAACTTAAGCTTTGAAAATTCTTCTTGTACAATGTTCACAATTGGTTTTTTCAGCATTGTACAGAAATGCTCCATGACCAAAAACTTGCAACTTCGAAAGCTTTTTGCGATATCATTATGATCTACAGTCGGCTCTTCAAGCGAATTCATGATTGGTTGAAAACATTCTTCCGGCGGATGTAGAATGATACCGAAATATTTCGTTGTTCGTCTTATTTTTTGCAAGACCGGAAACGGGTTGCAGACGATCTCCGATAAGGTAGCAGCTACTTCCTGAAGAGTTGATTCGGGTATGTGGCTTATGATGTTGTTTTTTGGAATGATGTACTGAGGTAAGACACCTTTTCTCAGGTTGTCAGCTAATTGTGACAGGACTTTCAACGCGTAATATCCGACTTGATCATACGACCAAGCAGACGACTCTTCCTCACATAACCAGAACATCTGTGTTTTTAAGCAGTATGATGAAATCTTTTCGATGTCCTGTAAAGCTGTTTTAAATAACATCTTAGCTAAAATGTAACTGCCTCTTTGAGCGAACGTGAAGCTACGCGCGAGAATTTTTTCTGATGGAGCCAATGAGAATCTCCATTCCTCTCTTTGATTTGGGCTCAGAGGGTGTGGCACAGCAACGACATAACAACCGGCAGATTTCACCTTTACCATTGTTTCTTTGCTTGGCCAACTTCTTGTACCTGATTCTACTCTTTTCAGCCATTCTGAAGCAACTAGTGGCCACGACTGACATTTGATAGACAGAACAACGTCGACTTCTTGACCTGTCCTAGTTATGTTCCCTGGGTGAATTTGAATCTTTGTACACGAAATTGCTGGTCCATGTACGAATGTCTTTATTTCCACAGTATCTGGTTTTTCAAAGAAGCCGACAATAACGTCAGCGTAAGGAACGTTAGTTTCTCCCACTTTAACGCCATCGTGAAATATATCTACTTTACCCGAACAGTCTTCATTAAAACGCATTCCAACAAATTTACCAGTATTCCTAGATCTTAGTCTACAATAGCCCGAATGACTTGCTTCACAAATTCTAGAATATGTACATCATCATCCTTAGTACCATCTGCATCACTTTCAAAATTATCTTTTGCTACATACTGTTTTAATACAGCCATCATGTCATAATCCGACATGGCGTAGATTGCATCACCGCCTTCAACGGTTGTTATAGTAACAGAAAGACCTTCATACTGACTGCCTATAAACAAAACATCACGTAACTCTGGCGGTAGCTTCATTTGGTCCTGCCTCTCTCTTTGCACTAACTCCGTGTAAAGTCTCAGTTTATAGGATCTTCTTACAATAGGTAATGGAAGAAGATATTTTAACATTAGTTGTGAAACCCGCAACTTTAGATCCGACATTCCAAACAAGTTTGCTGATTCCGCCATTCTGTTTTATATTTCACTATTGATTTCTTTTAGACGTTCAAATATTTACAATATTTTTACCTTCGCGTGCATATAATTTCTTT